CAGGGAGCCTGATGCGGGACTCGATCCAGGGACTCCAGGATCATGACCTGAGCCGAAGGCAGTCGCTCAACCAACTGAGCCACCCAGGCGCCCTAGCCACCGTTTCTAATGGCAGAGGCCCACAGCCTAACACTACCTTTTACCAAGAAAGGAATATCAGAAGTGGGAAGATGGGGGTCTTCACCCTAACGTCCGTCTTCTTTAGATACACTCTGTGAGTTGGTGTCCAGCCTTCTAATCTGAATTCCTGCTCCCTTAACATTAGTCTGCCTCGACCCTCTCAGTCCTATGCTTCTCACCCCAGGAGCTCCTGGTTCTTAGTCTCTTGCTGTTCTTAACTCTAATAAGCTTTGGGACTACAAATATCCTATCCTTGTGTGGGGTGATGGTGGCCAGATATGTTTTGGAATTCAGAGATCTTCAGATTTTAAAGAGGCAATATGATGCTTCTACCACGTGATATGAACCCTCAATGAACTCTCTGGTGTATCAACTTCAATATTCCTGTAGCAAAATATATAACCATCAGGAATGATCATACAAAGCAGAAGTTTTAAAAAAGGCTCTAAATGGTCTCATATTAGCACATGTAAAATTTTGCCACCAAATGAGTTTTGATTCCAAACTTAAGAGAAAATTTAGTTTTCATGTCCTGCATTTCAGACTCGCAGATGAGGCACCATGGATCTACACCAGGTCCTACCTTATCTATCGGCTCCTAGAGCTAGGAATGTGTCATACTCTGAGCTCTTCGTCTATTGCTATATCACAGTGTGACAACCCAACAGCTGCACCACCACGACCATTACTGGAGTTCACAGTTGTGTGTGTACTATGGTCCACACACTGGGCCAGAACATAGTAATTTAATCCTTTTAATAACCTTGCCCAAGAGCATGCAGCTATTAACTGGCTATCCGGGCCCAAAGCCCACTCCTCAACAATGCCTCACTGAAACCACCTGAATCCTTAAGAACAGAAATTATGTAGCTGATAGAACAATGCTTTCCAGTGGACTTCACAAATACTTGCATTTTGAAAGGATTCAAGTCGTTAACAGTTGAGCCTATAACTCTTATGACAATTAAATGCCAATTAAGATCTGATTTAAAAAAACCAAAACAACAAAACCCAGACCTTCAGAGTCCAAGTCAATTCCCCTAAAAGACAGGTCCCTAAACAAAGAATAACTTCATTTTATATAGGTCATTTCTGAAAGGATCTAACATTTCTTTAGCTATAGATTTCTGGTCCAGTTAACAGTCAAGGTAGACAGAAACCATGCATTCTTGTAATGCGATCGGCAATCAGCTGCCCAGGATTCTACCTCTGCTAGTAATCTCTGGACTGTGTCATCTGATTTATCCACTTCTTCTTCAGGAAACTAAACCACCTATAACTTACATATAATTCTTATCATCTATTGGTTATAAATGTTCCTGTCATGTTGAAAAGGAATCATCAGCAAGGGCAAACAGAATACTGATATACCTTGATTTCAAAGAGATGGCTAAGGAGGGCAGAAAACGGGGACATGAATGAGGATGTTGCAGAGAAAGCCTGTTCGCTCAGATTTTATGCTCCACCTGCTATTCGGGGCTTACGTGAGGAAACGGCCATTAACGGCGTCACCTCCAAGGAGGCCCACGTCAAGTGCGCTTTTGCCAATTGGGTGTCTGACCTCTGGCAAGTCTGACACCAGGCAGCTGTCCCAGTTTCCTTACCTCAGGATGATGTGCACAGATTCCAAACGGGATGTGATATAGGCTTTGGTGACCTCAGGAGTGTAAGTTTCCAGCATGTGGGGCTCTGTGGCTTTCACGTATGGCACAGAGGCTGCCAGCCGCTGCCATAGGCTCAGGAGATAGTGCACACTATTTGGGGCAAATTCCCAGTGCTAAGGAAAACCAAAAGAGCAGGAGGCACATTTCTCATTTTTTGTACACTTCACACAAAGGAAAAAGGCTTAAAAAAAAAAGGATAAATGTTTATGAGCTTTGTTCTGTGCATGACAACTCATCCATCCAATGTGCTTATTATTATTTCAGAGATTAAGCATCTAATAAAAAGAGCTGTTCTACGCTGGTTGTGTAAGCCTTCCCACAAAGAAAGCCTTGTGTAAATGGTTCTCAAACATTAGTATCCATGAGAATCACCTGGAGAACTTGTTGGACATAGAGACACCAAGGCTCCACCCTGGATCTAGTGAAGCAGAAATTATGGGGGTAAAACACAAGCACCTGTATTTTTCAAACTCCCCAGATGATTTTGATGCAAGTCATGAAATATGAGAACCACTGTCCTATATTACACGACTAAGAAAGAGAGGTCACTAGCTCTCTCTCTTGACTCTTCTGTCTCACTCCATTCCAATCTTGCCTTTTTCAGAGTGATAATCTAAATATTATCCTTGCAATTCCCACATGTTCCTCTAACCAAACTCCTTGCACTTATGTAAGGCATATGAGCAGGCTGCAATAACTACTCTGCAGGGTTGCCCTATACTGATACTCACTTTTGCCGGGGGGTTGGCGGGGGTGGGTGGAGAAGGGAATACAGTACACCTTGGAGATATTACTACGGGTTTGATTCCTGACCACTGCAATAAAGTGAGTCAAATGAGTGTTTTGGTTTCTCAGTGCACATAAGAAGGTTGTTTTACACTACACTACACTATAAGTGTGCAACAGCATTGTCTCAAAAAACAACGTACATACCTTAACTAAAAAATACTTCAGTGCTAAAAGTGCTAACCATCACCTGAGCTTTCAGGGTCATAATCACTGATCACAGATCACCATAACAAATATGAGAAAGTCTGAAATATTGCGAGAATTAACAAAATGCAACAGAGACATGAAGTGAGCAAGTGCTGTTGGAAAAATGGCACCGATACACTTGCTCAATGCAGGGCTGCCATAAACATTCAACTTGTAAAAAACGCAGTATGTGTGAAGTGCATTAAAATGAGGTATGCCCGTATTCTTTTAACTTTAAAATCAATGAGCAAGAGAAGGGGTTCCAATGTGTAGGAAAGAGAAAGACAAGCAAAGACAAACCTGTAGGCTGGTCACTGTGAAGTTAGCTATCAATCGGATGACCTCAGGGTAGTTTTCCACCTTTACTAATTCTCCCAGTTGATAGTTACTCTTCAATCGGGCCAGTAGTCTGCAAAACTCATGGTAATTGTTCGGGTCTGATAAACTCTGGTGACAGCACAGGAGGAAAATAAAATGTAACATGTGATGCACTATACTTCCAGAATGACATTGGGGATGGCATAAGGGGAGGGGAGAATCTACTTTAACTTCTCAGCTACAGGTCCTCACTTAGAATGATACATCTGTAGAATATTTAAAAACAATTTTTTACAAAGTCACTTTTAAAAGAGATGGTCACATCTATTATCTCATCTGTTCATAACAATCATCCTGTGAGATGAAATTATTAGCCTCAATTCAAAGTCTGAAATGGAAGCTCAGAAGGATCACATTACTTGCCTAAAGTTGTAAAGCGGATTAATAACGGAAAAGGGGTACAATCGAAGATGTGGCTGGTCTGTTTGCTTCCCACTAATCAGAGATCATGAAATTTTCATTTTTCCATCTGTCAAATTTATCATTAAATAAGACTATACTTCAGTGGCAAAGTTACACAAATGTTTATTTACAATATATCATTATTGCTGTAACAATTTAATTCCTAGATTAGTAAGACAAGAAAGAACAAGTGTTGGTGAGGATGTGGAGAAAAAGGAACCCTTGTGCACTGTTGGTGGGAATGCAAAATGGTGCAGCCACTGTGGACAACAGTATGGAGGTTCCTCAAAAAATTAAAAATAGAACTACCATATGATCCAGTAAGATAAAAATAACTATGATCTTGCCATTTGTGACAAAGTGGATGAACCTAGGTGGTATTATACTAAGTGAACTAAATCAGACAAAGACAAATACCACAGGATTTCACTTAATATGTGGAATCTAAAAAATAAAACAAATGAACAAACAAACAAAAAAAGCAGGGACAGACCCATAAATACAGAGAACAAACCGAGGGTAGCCAGAGGGGAGGCAATGGGGGGATGGCCAAAAATGGACCAAGAGGAGTGGGAGGCACAGGCTTCCAGTTATGGAGTGAAGACGTCCTGGGGATGAAAGGTACAGCACAGGGAATATAATAGTGCTGTGTGGTGAGTATAACAATGTAGAGAGTTGTTTCACTATGTTGTACATCTGAAACTAACGTACATTCTGAGTCAACTGTACTTTAGTTAAAAAAAAAAGAATTATTAAAAAGAGGGACAGAACTGAGCTTTTTTTTTTTTTTTTTAAGATTTTACTTATTTATTTGACAGAGAGAGACACAGTGAGAGAGGGAACACAAGCAGGGGGAGAGGGAGAGGGAGAAGCAGGCTTCCCACTGAGCAGGGAGCCCGATGTGGAGCTCGATCCCAGGACCCTGGGATCATGACCTGAGCCAAAGGCAGATGCTTAACGACTGAGCCACCCAGGTGCCCCCAGAACTGAGCATATTTAAAAATGAAATGCTTGTTTGGTACTTCCTAGTGTAGAGAAGTGGTACTTTAAAAAAAAGTAGGTGTTGGCTGAATCTCTGAAACTGAAAAACACGAAAAGGGCAATCGAGTTATGGATTGAATACTAAATGGGCAATATCTCCCTTCCCACCTAAAAGCAGGCCTACACACTTGGGTAAATAATGTATATTAAAAAAAAAAGAAAAAAAAAAAAGGAAAACAGAAACAAAAACCAAACTCTGGATTCTTAATTTCTTGGGGGAAAAATGACTAGCGCTCTCTCCTTATTTTCCTGTGTCAAAGTGATCCTTTTCCCTAACTCTTGCATTCCTGACGCTGGAGGATACAAACTCCTCATTTGGGTAAACTCTCAAGAATCTGCCTACAGAAAAAAAAAAAAAAGAACCTGCCTACAGGACATCTGGGTGGCCCAGTCAGTTAAGCGTCTGCCTTCAGCTCAGGTCATGATCCCAGGGTCCTGGGATTGAGTCCCGCATTGGGCTCCTTGCTCAGCAGGGAGCCTGCTTCTTCCTCTGCCTGCCGCTCCCCTCCTGCTTGTGCTCTCTCTCTCTGACAAAAAAATAAAATCTTAAAAAAAAAAAAAAGAAAAAAAGAATCTGCCTACAGATACAGACTCACTTAAATCTTCTGAGAATGACACACTGAACTGTTCTCTAGGATTTCTGCTAAGTGTGGCCTCTAGATGGATTTCCTTCTGACTCAACAGAGAGGCACATACTAATCTCACACACACACCAAAAATTTAAATATGTATTCAAACAATAAATTCTCAAAAATCTTACCTGTGGATTTTCCAGTATTCGTTTAACACCATCAACAAGATGTGAGAGAAACTTGGCCCTCTCTGCATTGTTAAACAGGGATCTTCTTACTGAGGCAATCTGTACTAAACAGGATAATACCTAAAAGCAGGCACAACCAAACACAACCGATTAAAAAGATGATACGGCTCCTCCATACTATCTTTTCCCTCCTTCCCCTCCTAGAACATTCTTCTTTACATATGCTGTTAACTCTGTTCTTTCAACTTCTGCTACTATTATCACGATATAGAAAGATCAAGGAGAGTGCAGCTGAGGATACTGGAAACAGCTTTATTAAAAGAAAAAAAAAGATCATTAAATCCAAGTTACCATAACAACTAGTTAAATTCACAGTGTGGAAATTCATTTAGGTATTATTCTTTGACCACCCAGTGGCTTCTTTGATTCTTGTTAAGTTATATACTTAAGGCTTGGAAATACCATACAATTCGTAGGTTAAGTAAAGATTTAGTTTTCTCTGTTTGTATCATTAAGTTTACTTCAGGAAAAGGTACCTCACTCAAGAGAGAGAGTTCATAAAAGGACTCTTAGTAAAGATGTGGGCAACACTAAGGGAATCCAACAAGGTGAGGTGAGGTACACCCTCTAGGGGGTGCAATAGTGGGAAGTTATCATGATATAGAAAGATCTAGTTTTCTCTGTTTTATTAGTTTTAGTTTAGATTTAGTTTTCTCTGTTTCATTAAGACTTTTGGCTAATCATGGGCACCTGGGTGGCTCAGTCATTGAGCGTTTGCCTTCGGCTCAGGTCATGATCCTAGGGTCCTGGGATTGAGTCCCACATCAGGCTCCCTGCTCAGCGGGAAGCCTGCTTGTCCCTCTCCCACTCTCCCTGCTTGTGTTCCTGCTCTCGCTCTCTCTTTCTCTGTCAAATAAATAAATAAATAGAAGACTTTTGGTTAATCAGGCTTTGCCATAAGGAAATAACCAAGTTAGATCTGTGTCCTGAAAAGAATAGGCTTTACACTGAAAACATTTTACCCTTTCCCCACCGTGCTAGATATTTATATTGTTTGCCTCTCCATATCTGTCTTCTATCCTTCTCCACATGCTCTGTTCCCTGGGAGGCTGACTTCTGTCCACCAACAGCCAGAGCTCCGCTGCCCTCTTGCCTCTAGTAGGCTTCAACCACTGGATAGTACTAGAAGGAGATTAAGGGCAGGAAGAAAAGAGGCACCCCCTCTGGACCCCTGGCTGGGCCATGACTGGCAGTGTCCCTCTCCCTGTGCTGCCCAGCCCTCCCCTAAGACACAGTTTTAGCTCTTTCCAGGGTTTCCCCCGTGCCCCCTGGGGCTTCCCACTATTGCACCCCCTAGAGGGTGTACCTCACCTCACCTTGTTGGATTGCCTTAGTGTTGCCCACATCTTTACTAAGAATCCTTTTATGAACTATCTCTCTTGAGTGAGCTGCCTTTTCCTGAAGTAAACTTAACGATACAAACCACTGAATTCACGTTTCTACTAAAGCTAAGGTCTACATTTGGAAAAGTACCATAATAACCAGGAAAACAGCCTACTGTAGAAAAACTATGTAAAACACCCATTACTTTACTGTCTTATCTGTGTGTTTTGTATGGTAGCATTTTACACCAAACAGTCTGAAATACTAGGCCAATGTCTTTCAGGACCTGGATGAATTTTGAGATTTGAGGAGGGTAATTACTGCTTTAAAGGAGAAATGCATCATTTCCAAGAGTTCTCTAATGTTATCCAGGAAAGTATACAAATTTGCCTTCCCCTTACAGCTTCCATTTATCACTTATGTAACATGTGCCTGAAGGATTTTTCTAAAATTTTCTTGGGCAGGATAACCTTCAATTAGATAATACAAGCTGAATCCCCGCCCCGCCCCACCCCCCAACTCTAGCCTGAGGCTGTCTGAGGTCCAGTATAAAGTCAGATTCAAGATGAGACCAGAAGAGCTTGACATTTGCAGCAATTTGTCATTAGAGAGGAATAATTTAAAGAGAATTAAGACTTTATTGCGAGAACGTTTAGGCCACACGTTTTACCACAAAAGGCTAGATAACTAACCCTAGCATTTCTATGCTTTACTTGCATGATTTTGTACAACAAAATGAACGAGCATAAGGCTCATTCACCATTGCTACTTTCTAGATGTAGGTTAGGCTTTAGAAACTGTAGTCCTGACTCACCAGAGGCGAAAATGAAGGAGGGATGGAATGATACAGGTCAAAAAACAGCTGCAGAGTTGAAGAATCTAAGAACGCTGAAAAAAGACAGAGGAGCCGTTAGTACGTCGCTCGTTGCTAGTGACATGCCTACAGCACTGTGTATTAGGGGCGCGTCCTCTGTTTTTTCTTCTCACAGGGTTTACTTCCTTTCAAGTGATAAGCTAAGAGGGGCTTTTGGTTTGCCCTGTTTGTTTGTTTCTTAAAGCACTAGGTTTCAGCTCCTCTAAGGAACAGATTCATTCTTGTGATTCTCAGAGAACTTAAGACAGTCAGGACTATGTTCAATGCAAGATGTTTGATCCTGAAGAACACAAAACAAGCATAAGCACAAGTCCTTTTCTCTGATTTCGTGTTTAAACCTAGAAATGACCTCAAATGAGTAAGATCACAGGAGTCTCTAGGTGATGAATGCAAGAAGGTCAAACTCACATCCATTAGTAACCCAGTAATTAAAAAAGATCTCCCAGGCTGAGGGATCTGTAAGGTTCCTCCAACACCCTCTTCCTCACTGTATTAAGACAGATGCTGACTTTCTAAGTTTTCTCTAACAGCAAGCAAGGGCTAGCCAGGGGTTCGTTCCTTAGACCATCCCGCAGACATGGTGTGGGGCTGAGCAGCAGTCTGTTCCTGCTGGTGCAGTGCTCCTACCTGATCTCCAGCTGGTGGGAATCTGTACTGTGCACAGGTCATCTGAGGACTCATCAGTAGAAGTGCCGATGAAATCAAAGTTTAGGCAGTTATGAGTGAGTTTGAGCAGTTGCATGAGCAAGCCATGCTGACTTTCATCATTCAAGTTTAGATTCTTTCCTGAAGCCTGTAAAAATCACCACACAATGAGCCCAAACAATCACTCCCCTCTTCCAAGCTTGGTGCCAAGACTCCTGAGAAGGCTGTTAAGCCAGAAAAGGAGGGCAGTATTTCAACTCAATAAAGTGATGTTTCCCCTGCAAAAGAGGCTGCACTTCTGTCACCTTAATGTCACTATGAAAATCCTAGCTCCTTATTTACTATAAAACATGGAACTGGTATTTAAAGAAATCCCCCTTTTGACATGTATTCTTTACATGTTGTAGACATACTGACCACAGGGGATTCTGAAGCAATATGGGATGGGTGGTTACTCCATTTGCTATGAGATCCTAGGTATTTCTAGATGGGGCTGGTGACCTCAGTGACTAGCTGGCTAATTGTTTTTGATGGTATCAGCCAGGAGGAGTCAATCCTCAGTTTTCTCAAAAGCTTTCCCCCCTCAGGGGGTATAATAGCTTTTGCTAGGTAGCTTGCCCATCCCGAGGACTGTCTGGGAGTTCTGAGATAGAACTAGGTAATTGAGGAAAAAGCTAAATATCATTAACTAGGACAACACAAAGAATCCAAACTTGCTTCTAAAACTCATGACATAATGGAAAATGAGACTAAGAACAGAAAACCCCACAAACACCCAAAACAAACAAACAACCCAAAATGAACGAACAGCCAGAGGCTAACCCCATTTAGCTTTCTATGGGGAGGTCCCTAGAGATTGTTATAAATGGGTAGGACTCACAGGTGAGCATTTCTTTCCTAGTTCAACTCATCCCTAAATGAACTTCAACACCCATTTTCTGTTTTAAAACAGGTAATTTCCTTATGGGATAACGGTCTACCCCTTCAGGTTATGAAATATAAATGGATGTTAAAAATTCAAAATCTACTTTTCCTTACAGATGTTGCTTGGTTATGTGCCGCCTGTAACTCAGTAGGGGGCAGGGGAGCCGGCCTGTTTCAGTATGCTAACAATGCAGTCGGAACCTGCTTTTAGAGCACTAAGAATCCAAACACCATAAAGCCAACATGCCTTTATTCCATGCAGAGAAAGATTTTATGTGGGTATAAAAAAAGCAAACAACAAAATCCCAAACTTCGTGGTAAACTAGATTTTTTGGGATACGTGTTCACTTACTGCGCTTTGCTTAGGGGAACGGCTCTGAAATGAGGCAATTCTAATCCCCTCTCTAAAATCAGTCGTCAGTGTGGCACTTTCTTCCACATCTTGGAGACGGGCATCATGTGAGAGATGGTGATGGTTAGAGCTGCACCAACTCTCAAGGGGTCAGCATGGAACTGACCTCTAACAGATCCCCACTCATTCTCATCCTTTCAAAGGGGGCTGGGAAGCAGGACCCAATCTACAATCTCACCTGTTTTAGTAAATTGCAGGAAAGTGTGAAGATATCAAATAATGATGAGTCTCGGAAGGAAGAGGCTATTTTTCTGTGCTTGGTTAAAGGATGCGTGGTGTCGGCCTGTGCAAAAAGATAAACCAATCCAAGTTTTAGAATTGCAAAAAAAAAATTTTCATATAGACTTTAAATAAACTAGGATTTCCAATAAAACCAACTTACATAAAAATACATTTTTAATGTTTAAATCACTGTTAACTCACGTATAATGAGAGGATGCAAAGGACAATAAGCTGCTAACAGCAGGATAGGTCTACAGCTTACAGATGGAAGACAGAAAGAGGGATGAGCATCTCCACTGTAAAGTTTTAATTTCCTCTGCATTTAGGGAGGTAATTTAACCAATTGCTGGCAGATACTGCTAATAATTACTAGCATGTTGTATTGTGGCTCAGTCTCAGAAACAGACAGTGGCAAAGCTTGGTAAACAATCCACTCAAGACTAAAGCTGCCACAGAATTTCCAAAGCAGTTCTTAACTGACAGCCATGAACTTAGGATAACTGACAATAGCCCATAACACCCTCTGCCTTCTCTAACCTATTTCAACACGTAGTCTCTATTCCAGAAGTGAGCACTTAATTGAAGGGCAGCATCAGTCTCTCACTTTTTCCTCTGCTCCTCTCTTTTCAGCCCAACTTTTTTTTTTTTTAAAGATTTTATTTATCTATTTGACAGAGAGAGGCACAGCGAGAGAGGGAACACAAGCAGGGGGAGTGGGAGAGGGAGAAGCAGGCCTCCCGCCGAGCAGGGAGCCCGACGTGGGGCTTGATCCCAGGACCCTGAGATCACGACCTGAGCCGAAGGCAGACGCCCAACGACTGAGCCACCCAGGCGCCCCTCTTTTCAGCCAAACTTTAAAGGTTTTTATGGTTAAGAACTCTGTCTTTTACTTCTTTGGTACGCCCTCTATTCCTGACACACAGACACTTCAGTAAGTGGAATAAAGGGATTTCAAGGTTACTAAGGGAATTTTTAGTCCCACCACCTCTGAAAGCTTAAATCTCTTCTATATACCAATCAATTCATCCAAGAGGGGGCGCATTTGCTGTTGGCACATTAAAGAATGCAGCAAGATTTCTGACAATCAAGTTATGGACTCCCCTTGATTTTCTTTTTTAAAGCTTTATTTATTTAAGTAATCTCTACACCCAACATGGGGCTCGAACTAACGACCCCGAGATCAAGAGTCACATGCTCCTTCGACTGAGCCAGCCAGGCACCCCTCCCCTTGATTTTATTTCTAAGTTCAGACAGGCCTGGTAACAGAAATATGCTTTCTGATTTAAATCTGACAACCAAAAAAACAACAGAAAACTAAGTTTTGCAGAGGTTCAAAGTATCCCCCAATTCTAGCTTCAGTGTCACTGTATTATCATAAAATGTCTTGGATAATATGGCACTGCCAGATTATATACCATATTCCATATATAATCGGTTATGCTGATCATAATACAGAGAATAACTGCACACATTAAATACATTACACACATTTCTACTGTTCCATTAAGAAAGACAAATAAAATTTTGGAGTTTTAAAAAATATCAACATTGGTGTATTTCGTGGGGCCAAGCTTTGAAGAGGAGAACATTAACCCCACAATCTCTGTTCTCAGTTAATGCGTGTTCTTGTATTACAAAGGTAATAGTGGTTCAGTAATAAGTTATTTGTTAAGAGCACAGGCTCTGGAATAAGACTGTGCAGGTTCAAATTCAGATACTGTTGCTTGCTAAATGGGATACCTTAGGCCAATTATTGACCTTTGTGTGCTGCAGGTTCCTCACCTAGAAAATGGAACAGCCATGGAACCTACCTCCCAGCACTACGGTGAGAATAAAATTAGCTGCTACCAGTAAAGTGCTCAGAACAGCGTCTGCTGCACAGTAGTCACTCAAGAGTACAAGCTATTATTATTTTGATAATTACTGACCACAGTGGGGAGTGCATGTGACAGAGAACACAGTATGGACTCCAGAGTTTAAATGGCTAGAAGCTGATGCATTTAAAACAGTACTACCTCACAGTTAAAATTCTCAGGGTTAATAAAAGGTCTGCATAAATATGCGCAATAGCAACAGTGATGCCGATGTAATTTACAGCTGGTGACCGAAGGGTGAGATGTCACAACTAATATTAATACTGGCCTGTTCAATAATTACAAAATTGTAGCTGGATACAAAAGTAAATGACTAAAAAAAATAATAGCCAGAGCAAAAGAAAGCCACTGGTGTTTTCCTCTGTAGTAACCTGTGACAAGAAGGACTACTCAAAAAATTATTTGGTATTTAGCAGAATGTTTTATGCATTCCAAAAATACCACCAGGGAAGCCTTTAATAGCAGCACATGGGAATTGAGTTTTAAAGGGTTATAAATACATATTAATGTATTTAGCAGAAGTGGCACACAAACGGTCTGATTCCACTTTTGTGACCCCCCTTTTGAACACATTCTCTTTTATTGGCAAAGCAGTGATTTATTAAGGCTTTGACTTAGGCCCGTTGCTCTCATCTCGCACAACGAACATTAATAACAGCAAGGAGAGCTGTTCTGGAGACAGAAGGGGACCAGGATGTTAAGAACGAGGGAGGCTGCACGTACAGAGGAAAATCCAATGGAACTGTTGTTTCAAAGGGCATTAATCACTTACCGCAAAAGCACACAACTGCCAAAAAAGATCATCTCACACATAGCAGAAAACACCAATACTAAGAAAAAATATGGCACTTACTTCAATGAGGAAGGCTGTAGCACTTACTTGATTAATTTCATTGGTTAGCTGAGATAAAATAGTGACGCCAATGACGCAGTATTCCACACTATCCTGGTAAAAACAACGTGAGGCACGAGTTGGTGCGTGCAGCGAGACTTCAGCAATGGCGGCGCAGCCGCGCTTTTGACGTGGCAGCGTCCTGTGTAGCTATTAAAACTGCCCAGATAAGGCAGCGAGGAATTGTAGTTTAAAACTGTTGCTTTGCAGGACATAAAATATAACTGCCACAGAGGAAGACTGCTAAATCTGACTTCATCAAGACTGAAACCTTTTGTATTTCAAAAATAGTCATAAGCATTATACCGTACCCATTATACAAAGAGAAACTGGCAAAATACATTTAAGGTAAGTGACAAGTGGATGTGTAACATAATTCACAAAGAGACCACATACAACAATAAGAAAAAGACAAAGAACTCCAGATTTTTAAGATATAAATCGGAAGTTCTACAGAAAAAAAAACAAACAAGTAGTAAATTAACATACGAAAATTTGTTCTGTCTCACTCATAACTCAAATGCTGAGATACTAATTCTTTTTACCTATTAAATTGGAAAAATAAAAAAGCTGAGTTCCCGGGGTGGAGGTATAGACACAGGCATTCTTTTAATTGTTGTAGGAAACAACCTTTTTTGAGGATAATTTGGAAATATCTTTGAAAGCCCAAAATACACATATCCCTTTGACTGTATAATTCCAAGGCTAGGAATTCACCCTACAAACACACTTATTCCAAGTATGGCAGGTGTATATGTATTTTAGGTTTACTTAACTTATTTACTGAAGTGTTTACTTAACAGTCAAAGTATAGAACCAAACTAAATGCCCACCTATAAGACATTAGTTATTAAGCGATGGTATTTTCAGATTGGAATAGTATACAGGCATTAGAAAAACCGGAGTTTGTGCTGACATGTAAGCATGTAAAGCCAAGGAATATTAAAGGCAAAAAAGACACAGAAGAGAATGTATAAAATAATTCCATTTTGTGTAATTTTTAAAAAGTAGATCACTATATAAACATATACATGTTGCTTCTCACATTCCTACTACATCACATCACATATATACGTCATACCTGTAAGAACCTTGTGACGTCTGTGATTGCATTTCTGAAGACATAGTCGTCCTTCTGACAGTCAAACCAGCCCAGTTTTGTGATTCTGGCATATAACTGAATAAGTGCTTGTGTCACAAAAGTAGCCAACTTTGGCCGAGTGGCAAGGTAGTTGAGCACATAGTTCCCTACAAAACAAAAAACTCTGCATAACAGAAAGCTCTGCCAGGGAAGGCCACACATCTTTAAATATATTAAGCATCCAAGAAATGGTAAGTTTAGTCTATTTCCCCTAAGCTCCCTTAATTCTTGTTTCTGTTGTATTCCCTTAATTCTTAATGTGACTGAGAAATGGGACTTTGAATTTAAGATTAGTGGGCTTTCCAATTCAGGATTTTATACTTGTCACAGTGAAGACCCTGGAGTACGGCAGCCTTGAATCTACTACTAGATAGTTAAATAACATGCCTGCACAGAATTCAAACTCCTTAACAACATTTTTCTTAGTTATTAATGGCAGTAAGGACTGAACGAAAGAAACCTCTTGACGACAAAAGGGATGACTTAAGACTTTATCTAGAAATAATTATATAAGATCCTCTTTACTTTCAAAAGCCCCAAATTCTGGGGGGAGGGGGGAACCTGGATTCTACATATTTTGTACGCTTACCAATTCCAGAACATTATCAAACAAGCAACATAAATTTAACTATTACTAAGCACATCACTAAACAAACTAATTTCTTGAAAACAGATCAATTCTCTACTTACGAATATCTATGCGTTGCTCCAATGGTAGAGGGTTGTTTGTGCGTGATACAAGCTTTGTAAGGCATGTAGCTGCCAGTAACTGGGAGTAAGAGGACTGTGGAAAGACGGGGAAAAGGACTTAGAATTCAATTTTATTAAGTTAGTCAGTCATGAGGTTTTTTTATTTGGAGATCTATGCTGAGATTCAAGAAATATTAATTAGTTTTGCAATAGTCAATCCTCCGCATTTTAGAGGGTCTAAGGAAAAAGGAGTCCCACACAGAGTATATGTTCACTGAGCTGATTTCAGTTATGAACAAGGTGCAGTATGAAGCGAATGGCCTGACTGAACTGAATCCAGGGCAGATTCTGCATCACTTAGAGGGGGCCCATGCTAGAGAGGATCATTTCAGAAAGATACAAGAAGACAAATCTTTAGAAGATGGATCTTTTCTTTCATTTAAACCAAGAAATCTTCTGTCAAAAGCCTTGTTATAGTGATGCTTCAAAAAGTTTCAACTCAAAATATTGCTATAGTATACCATTAGAAAGTTTTTTTTTTTTTTTTTTTAAAGCAGCATTAGAGGGAGCCATTACATTATGCTGTATAGTTAATTCCTAACCTATATCTTTACATCAGCACAGCTATCAATCAGGTACAGCTTTGGGGGATGTATATGCTAGTTTTAAAGTAAATTTATACCAATTATTTATGAGAAAGAAAAATTATGCCCTATGCAAGGGAACAGCATTATCATATTCTCACATGTGGATTTTATGAATTTTAACCTTATGGAGAATAAAATATTCCGGTATTCTAACTGATCATAATGTATAAAAAAGTGCCATGTGCAAATTCTTCTAGGTGGCTCTATTACGATAATGTCCTATATAACAGGGACAGACTCAGGACTATTAAAATAATTTAATTAAGGGTCAAGGATAATTTCCTATAACACTAAGAATCCTTAAGACAGTAGGCTATCCAATGGAGCACTGGGTGTTGTGCACGAACAATGAATCATGGAACACTTCATCTAGAACTAATGATGTAATGTATGGGGATTAACATAAGAATAAAAAAAAATGCATAAAAAAAAAAAAGACAGTAGGCTATCCACAGGCACTGCATAATGCCACCAGTTATAAAAAAATTTATGCTTAAGAAAAAAAATCTATAAAGTGACTTTGACATGTGATTTTTATTCAACACCCCTGAACATGGTTTAAACTGATTAGAGCAGGTGTGTCAAATCACTAACAATGCATGAGAGGCTACTCTAACTGTAGAATACAGCATACAACTGTAACTAGACATGATGCAACATCTAAATGGTTTTTATACACAATTCCAACAAACCTGCTACGTCACTAAGAAGTCCATAGAGATTAAAAGGAAGATTCCACTATGACTGTTTTTAGTACTGCACCAATCCTGTTTTACTGCAGCTTGTTTTATTTACTGACTGTCAACATGAGGATCCGGAGTTAATAGGGTCAAAGATGATACGATGATACTGTGGGGCTCCAGTGGGAGTCACCTGGAAGAGCTGGTTGTGCACCTCCCGGAGCACAAAATATACGAATATAAGTGGGTCAATCCTAAGACTAAGGGACTGGAAAGAAATTTACAACATACTACATGCGAAAACAGAACAGAGCACTATATGGTCTCTGACCAGGGCTCTGTAACCTTCTGATGCTTGGAAAAACAGTTAGCTCTCTTAGCTACTAAAGGATAATTTTTAGCCAACTGAACAAATACTGTTACACTGTCAATGAAAATTCAAACATGAAGTCATCCAGAATTTTACCTTCAAAACAAATTAACTGCTTTTGTTCTTTCCACATGTCCTTCTAGTCTGAAGTAAGAGTGCTAGCTGCTGGTCTAGTTGGGATTCTGACTCTCTCGGGCCCTTTCAGGATACCCTGGCTGGATTCTTAGCCCTCCTAAGACCGCCATCTTGCCCCAAATACTAATTTAACCAAACCAGGTCTCACTGACAGCATGATACTGACCACTGGACTGCCATTTTTAAGCTCCAAGAGGCTCTGATTGCATTTTAAAAGCTCGAACCTCTGGTGGTTCTCGTTGTGGAACGTTCCCCCCATGCCTCCGAGGCAGTAAGCAGCAGCTGTGGTACAGAGGCAACAGCACAGCGACCACTGGGGAGCTTGCACAGTGACATGGGCTCTGTGGGTAAGAAGGCTCATTCGTATACAGCTCTGGCTCCTTTGTAAAGGATCCGAGGTGGTACTTAAGTGTGAAAAACAGAAAGAAAGTCCCAGAAATGTGATTCAAGATGAAAAATGACAGAGCAAAGTATATGTTCAATGAGATTTTCCTGAGGAGGAGGCTGTGTGTCCTTTCACTGTCAACCTGGCAGCTAGCGATGGTGCTTTTTAAAGGTGAAATTAAGAAGGCAGAGAGGCACCTAGAAGGATTAAGGAACACAAGCTATCCCAATCCGCCCTTAAACTTGGAATATATTTTCCTGAACCTCTCTCCTCCTTCAGGAGTTTTCAAATCTTACGCACACTTCCTCTCTCGAGGAGCAGCTGGCACTTGCTCAGGCAATCAGGGCTGTTGGTGAATTCGACCAAGGCTTTCTCTGCCTGGAGTCGAGTGGTTGTGTCTGTTGTCTCATAAAGCTGTTTGCACAGATTCTCTAGTTGGGCCAGGCTCTGGAAAAGATCAGTCAGGAAAGAAATCAGTCCGGCCTACTATATATACAACGTACTGTGCACAAAACCACTAGATGAAGGTAAGTACTAATCAATGGAGAGAGACTTGTTTCTCAACTCTGAGGAGAATCTGGGTGACCTTTATCTAATAATAACCACTTACAGCTTTTTAAATTTTATGTTTTAGAAGACAAAATGATAAAACACCTAAAATACCCATACATTTTTAGTCATTCTGTTGGAGGTCAATCACAAATGATACATTCATTTTTCCTTGCAAATACCCATCCTCCCAAGCTTTTCCAAAAGGCTTTCAAATAAAAATTCAGAATTTACTTGTTCTGCCATCAATTTCAAAACAATACTGGAGGCACTGCTGGAAAATTAAGCACATAAATACATAATGTAAGTGTCACATAGATCTTTCTGTAATTTAAAATTTTTCCCTTTTCCTAGTAGTTACTGGCTCACAACTATGCGTACGAATAAAGATGGCCGACTTCTATGAGAAAGCTTCAGAATGCATGTACGCACCTTCCTCCCTGGGTCCCTCATGTTTAAAGTTCAGCAGACTCTCTTCTCCTGCCGTACTTTAAACTCTTGCTTCGGTTCCAAATTTAAAGTGCAAGGGTCAAAATAAATGCAACCCTCACATATGCTCAGACAGAGATAAGACCAGGGAAACGCCCCCAAACAAACCCTTCTCTCCAAATCCTGAACCAGTTCCAGGGAGGCAGGAAGGGGATGGGTGTGTGCTTCAGTCAAAAACCCAAAGGGATGGCAGAAAGGGATGCAAATCTACTTCCACTGACTGTGGTGTTGAAAAGCAAAGAGGAAAGAAACCAGTAAGAGTTCATTTAACTGTCACCTTTCACGGACTGAAGAGGAGGGCAAACATCTGTTAGTCTTCAAAGGAATGGTTTGGACTTTAAGAAGAAATCTGAGCCTATTTTCTAGAGTAGCAAGCAAGATTTGGTTTAAACAGTATGTGGGATGACGGATCCTACTATTAGACATGACAACTGCGACAGGAACAGAAATAATAATAACAGTAATAATTAAACAAACTGACCCGGGTAAATAGCCTAAAATTTCTTACACTACCTGTCTGCCCAAGGCTTTTCAGGATCGCTTTATTTCATTATGGTGTTACTTTATAAATCACAGCTTTTCCACGAAGTAGGAAAGCCCTTAGGGGAGGATACCTATTTTACTCAACCTGATTAATAAATTTCAAACATTAACCCAAAGGAAACAAGAAAGACAAATACTGACCCTCTAAGATCAGCAGTTCTCACTTCAGAGAGCTCCCCAATAACAGACACGACAACCCCTACTTCCAAAACAAAACCAACCACCCACCCTTTAAAACATCTTGGGACTCTGATTAGCCTTATGTTTAACTTGTTCCTCTCTGACTTCCAGGAGTCTCACTTAATACCTTCTTGAATTTAAAAGCACAGAGGAGGGGCCCCTGGGTGGCTCAGTCTTTAAGTGTCTGCCTTTGGCTCAGGTCACGATTCCAGGGTCCTGGGATCGAGCCCACATAGGGCTCCCTGATCAGCGGGAGGTCTGCTTCCCCACTCCCACTCCCCCTGCTTGTGTTCCTTCTCTTGCTGTGTCTCTCTATCAAATAAAAAATAAAATCTTTTTTTTTTTTTAAAAAAATGAAACAGTAAAAATAAAGCACAGAGGAAATTGCACTTACAAAAAAGTTAGATCTCAGTGAAGTCCCATAAGTAGTACCTGATTTTTTCAAAAGCTTATGAACACAAGGAAGAGGATAAGGCAAATTAATTACATATATTCCATAAACACAAGTGAAAATGATACGCTTACAATATTGGCCCTAGATCTTACTGACAAATGAAATCAGTTTAATTTTAAATCCCCACGTTCCTAAGCAAGGGATTAAATCTCCTTCACAAGGTTTTGTTTCAACCTAGCAGGCTGGGTCTCCCCACCCCCCATAAAATGATTAAAAAAAAAGGAAAAGAATTATTTTAAAAATAGGTTAACAGGGGTGCCTGGCTGGCACAGTTGGTAGGGCAGGCGACTCTTGATCCCAGGGGTTGTGAGTTTGAGCTCCATGTTGGGTGTAGAGATTACTTAAAAAAAAAAAAAAAAAAAAGGTAACAGAAGTCATGAGCAGAAAGTCACCCTAACTAAAACTGAAAATAGCTATAAAATCTGGTATTAGGTATTAGGGAGCAGCAGCTGCCTCATAATCCCACAGCCACCACACACTTGGAGCTTTCCAATATCCTGAACAGAGATACTCCCTACATAGTCATGCTGCTTAAGGTATAATGACTCTCCTTAAAGTCTGATCAATCAGTTCTGGTAGCACCCCCAGTGCATCTCTTGTTTATGTTTATTACAACAAAGTTGTTCACATGACAATGGCTAGGCATCTGTCACCAGTAATTCCTTACTGCTAAAACCCTACATGCAGGTTATGGTGGGCTTTCTCGGTGGTTGTTTTGTTTTGATCTGCTTTAATTCAGCAGACAAAAACATACTGCAGGGTAAGTCTGTTAATGAGTTCTCAGCTCAGGAAACAAATCTGTTTAAAAAACAAAAAAGCAATTTGACCATTTACACAAACAGTTTGAAGAACTATAGCCCTGTTTCTGTGTTTCCAGAACGGATGGGAAACAATTTTGTTTTCCCAAACAATTAGTGAAAACATCTAAAAACCACAGGGTTAACAGTCATTTTATTTGGGAATATTACACATATTACCCAAGGAAGGAGAGGAGACTGACACATTTATCTTTATGCCTTCTGGATCCTAATGTTTCTAAAGCACATCTAACAGATTATTCTGAATCACCTTTTTTGGGACCCTGATAAAACAATTTATCCTACAATTATTTGATTAGCTATTAAAAGTGGTACTTCACATTTAGGATAGCAACAACACATCACAGCATTTTCCCCCCAAAAACGTACAAGAATGTTCAAGGCAGCACCAAATGTAATCGTTCCCAAATGGAAAGCCAAATGTCCATCAACAGTAGTATGGATAAATAGCTCATTTCTTGATCTGGGTGCTGGTTACACAGGTACGTTCATTTTGAGAAAATCCACTGAACTGGTTAATTTGTATGTTTCTGTATGTTATACTTCAATGAGCAGCTTTAAAAAAAGATGGTTGAATGCCACAGTTTTCCCACAGTTCTCCAGGTAGTCACTCTCATATATTTCTTTCTGATATTCATGGAAAAGAAGTTCATCATAACCAACAGGTACACTCTAGATTTAAAATGCTGTACTTTCATATCAATTCATGCTTTCAGAACCATAACTTCCATTATTTTCTTAATAAATAAATGAATAAATAAATAAGGTAAGGCTTCTGGATGCTTCTGGGGGACATTCTATGTCTGAGAGTACTAGGAGGCTGAGTAAAACTTTTTGGTTGCAGATGCTGTATAACGTCTACTGCCGTAAAACAAGATAAACTATGTATTTCCAGCAAGTGATAATACTATGCCAGAGCTTTGCATGCATTAGATAAGGACAGCAAGTCTGCTAACATATGAGACTGCAGAATTCTACATTTAGCCTCAAAATACTAATCAATTCGAACTTGTAATAAATACGTAAGATCTTTGCATTGTGGGTAATTGGCAGCCAAAATACATGTAAACAACCTATTTCAAGAAGTAAACAGATTGACTGTGCCTGGTCACTTAATGGCTTATTGACTTATAAACCTCACTCAAGTGTTTTCATTTAGCATGTCACTAAGCCCTGGTTTTGGTTCCTTCTTGTTGTCACTCAGGAGTAAGGAATGAAAGTTGCAGCGTCAGCTGAATCCTCTAAAGTACGGGTTTCAAACTACTGGTAGCCTCAAACTGGCCCACATACATTGCTGTTTTTTGTCTTACAGCGTGGTTTTAAAGTTAGACATAGTTGCCAGTATTTCATAATAGTATCTGGTTTTCGAGATTCCCAAGAAAAATTCAAGGATCTGATAATACTGGACCTGCATTTTCAAGTGTTGCTAATCAGATGACACTTGCCTCGGGCAGGTTCTCGTAGTTCACCACAGTTTCTGCATGCCTCTGAGTGCCTTCTCCCTGGGCTCTAATGTAGTTTTGTCTACTATCAGTGGCTCCCTCTAAGATCTCAAGGGTAAAAACTAGTGAGCATACCATAGATTTTGGCTAATAACTTTGGGTACTAACTCTTTGCTGGATCTGTTTAAAACTTAGGCAGAGAGGAGACAGATGGAGAGTTAAAGCAATTTGGACACTGGTCTTAGTAATTAACTGTTGTGACTTGGGGCAAATTAATTTCCTGAAGTTTCTGTCTGCTCGTGTGTAAAATAAATGGATTTTATTATATTATTTTCAAAAGACACTCCCAGCTCTAAAATTCTGTGATTGTAATATACTATTCTTTCTCTTTCAGTTAAATAAGGAAATCAGATTTAAAAGTAAGCAAATATTAAAATTAAGATAATCACGAAAGCCACAGTCAGGACAAATTTTCTTAAAGAGAGAATTACACTTAAAAAATAAATTTGGTAACACTCCCACACATCCCTCTGACAAGAGCATGGGAGCTTTACTCACAAACAACTTCAGTGACCTAGCAGAATAAGGATTCTTTTGGAGGGGAGGTTGAGTAGTATAATGACTAAGACCTTAGCTGTCAGACAAATCCCCACTCCTCTATTTACTAGCAGTGGGAGTATGAATAAGTTACTCAAATCTTTCAAACTAGTTTTTATTTCTTTTATTTATTTATTTTTTTAATTTTTATTTATTTTTTTTTAAAGATTATATTTATTTATTTGACAGAGAGAGGCACAGCGAG